TGGCGAGGCAGACATACCTGTTGTGTGGGACGTGGCGGCGGTTGAGCCCTTCACAAAAGGACGAGCTCCAAAAGGCAGTTCGGCAATTCAAGTGTGGTAAGTGCAAAGACACGGCTGGAATGATTGCAGAAATGATCAAAGCAGGTGGAAAGCCTTGAGAACATGTGTTGCTGGCTATGTACAAGTGTATTTTGGAAGATCCGAAGAAGGCCCCAGCAAAGTGGAAGGAATCTAGTTTGACAGTAATATGCAAAGCCGGCGACCCTAAACTACCTTCAAATGACAGGCCGATAACAAGTATACACATTCTTTACAAGTTGTTTGCTCGATTCCTTGCCCAACGACTGGAGAAGATTCTAGACAAGGAACAGGCGCCGGACCAAGCTGGTCTCCGAAGTGATTACAGTACTGTAGACCACTTGTGGGCAGCAGCTCAAATACACGAAAATGCAAGAGAATGGAACCACCCGGTGTGGTTTGCGGCGCTCGACTTCAAGAAGGCGTTCGACAGCGTGGAGCACAGATGGGTATGGAGGGCGCTTCAAAGGCAGAGCGTACCCGACGCTTACGTGAACCTGCTATCATATTTTTACGCTGACCAAAGTGCTAGTGTTCGTACTGACAAGATGAGCAAACCTTTCTCTTTGCGACGGGGAACCAAGCAAGTTGATCCACTAAGTTCGTTGCTGTTCAACGCAGTCCTGGAAGACGCGTTCTGGGAGGTGAAGGGGAAGTGGTCGCAGAAGAGATTTGCATTGCCACTCGGTTTCACAAAGTGCACTTTATTATCCAATTTACGCTTTGCCGATGACGTATTGCTGGTTGCTTCGTCCTGTGCGAACCTACGAAAATTGCTCGGCGACCTCGTTGCGTCCTCCGGCGAAAGGGGCTTGACATTGCATCCAGACAAAACGAAGATTTTATGCAATCTTACAAAAAGAACGGGAATCATATCCAGGACGTGCATGGACGTGGGGGATATGAGGATTGAGATTCTCCCCTTTTCAGGCAATGTCAGGTACCTCGGGCGCGAGTTCACCTTTGGCGAGCCCGACGACGCAGAGCTTGACAACCGGATATCAATGGGCTGGAGAAAGTTTATGGTGTACAAGCAAGAACTTACAAAACAATGATACCTTTTAAGGGATCGCTTGAAGCTTTTTGACGTAGTCGTCAAGCCCACAGTTTTGTACGGGGCAGCAACCTGGACGCTGACAGCATACATGGAACGGAAACTGCAGAAATGTCAGAGATGCATGCTGCGGCTCATTCTTGGACACCGGAGGCGACGAATATGGATTGATACCACTGCAGATGGAGAAGTAGAGCCCTGGGTGGACTGGATAAGGCGGGCAACGCGAGCAGCCGAGACAACGATGGAGCATATGCAGTTCGAATGGTGGACAGTCACACAGCGAACGGACACATGGAGATGGGCAGCACGTGTGCGAAAGCTGGACAGGGAACGGTGGGCACGTGTTGTTGTTGAGTGGGAACCGCAGCGCACGGCAAAACGGAGTTTGATTTGATCGCGAGGTCGACCAAGAGCCGGTGGGCAGACGATATTCGAAGTTTTCTTACGGACGCAGGTATTCATGAATCGTTGTTAGATTTTTCAGTCACTTGGGAAGATCTGGAGGGGGATTTCACGAAGTACAAGATCAGGCGAGGGCTGCGGCCCACGCGCTCCGCCCCTCGCGGGTCGGCCGCCTTTTGCCGGACACAGCGCGCATTCGCATTCGCATTCGCATTCGCGCTTCTCTCGCGCTCAGCTGCTTGCTTCCGTGGGCGTGTATTTTTGGTCAGCTGTAGTTTGCCCAGCTGAGGGGATCTTCGGCGTCTGGTAAGTCCAGTGCGCGACCTCGGTCTGACGTGGAGCGTTCTCCGTCGTGCCGGCTGCGGCGCGGCCGCGCGCCTCCTCGCACTGATTCTTCCCTCTTCGTCATCTCTCTCTCTCTCTCTCGTTTTTGCCCGCGGTGGCGGCGGTGGTTGGGTGGTCGACCCTCCGCTCATCGGCGCCGTGGCAGGGGCGCAGTGTATCGGCGGCGAGCGACGGGGGGGAGTGAGAAGGGGCGGGCCTTTTCAGAAGGCTCGGATGTCCTGTGGCCTTCTGAGAAATTTTTAAACGTTCCCCGACGACAGAAAGAACTTTTCAGAAGGCGCGAGGGCTTCTGAGAAGTCCCGCCGCTTCCTGAGAAGGCCTTCTCTTTCCCCAGTCGCTCGCCGCCAAGTGTAACTGCGGATGACCTCTCGCGCAGCATTTGCTCAGTCTGTGTTTGTTGTTTGCGTTCGGCATCGCGCGCGCCTGACCCTGGGTCGGGTCGGCTGCTCTCTCGCGCTGCTTCCCCCTGCCTAGGTCCCGCCCTGGGCGGACGTCAGGTGTGCGGTGTTGCTGCGCCACTCTCGCTCGCAGACCTTTTTTCAGCGCGTGGACCGCGCTGTCGTGGCGTCTGCCCGCCCTCTCACTGCACCTTGCCTTTCTGTGCCACCCCACAAATCGGCTGGTCTGGCAACCTTCACAGTTTTACCATCACTGTCCAGCATCGATCGCACGATGTTTCAGTGACAATTTGCGCCAGACTGCTCGCGCTTCAGGGCCCCTTGAGTCGAGTTTTGGCGTGCTCCTCGGCTTTTGACCGCTGCACGTTCGCTTGATTACAGTTCCCCCTGCGCACCACCCATCTCCGCACGTCAGTGGTTGACGCTTCTTTCGCTGCGCTTTCGATTTTGTTCGATCGCAATTCGCACCCCCGTCTGCTGTTCGCGCTTGAGGACCCTCTGCGCTGCTGACTAAAATTTGTGTGTGTGTCGCCACCCCCGTTCCCGGTGTCAGTGGCCGCCCGCGCGGCATCAACAAACACGTGTGTGTGTATGTGAGAGAGAGAGAGAGAGAGAGAGAGAGAGAGTGTGTGTGTGTGTGTGTGTGTTTGGCGATCCAAAGAAGAAGTCTTGAGGGATGGGGTCCCAAGGACGAGGTGCTTCGAACACTATAAACCCACTGTTGAATCCCTTCTTGTCCTTAGGACCCCATCCCTGAGGACCCCATCTTTGAACCGCCGATTCGTGTGTGCGTCAGGCTGCGGGGGCCTACCGCGATCCCTGGGCGATCCATGGGCGATGGGGTGTCGATGCGTCCCCCCTTTTGCCTTTTTGCCCTAATCGTTCCCCCCGTATCGCTGCCCCCGCCCCTCCATGCCATGGAGTGGATCTTGGCTGTGTTTGGCGCCTGTTTCGAGCAGGTGGGGCTTCCCCCGCAATGGACGCACTGGCGCAAACAGTCGCACTCAGCAGAGGACCAGGGCCGTCCCCCCCCCCCTCTCCCCCCTACCCCTTCCGCCCAGTGTCGAACCGCCGACTAAGAAAACGTTCACCCAGCGTGCCCTGCCGTTGCCCCCTGCCGCTGCCCCCTGGCGCCCCCGCCCCCGCGCGCGAGGACACGACGGCGGCGGCTCGGCCGGCCCGCCCGCGCCGCTCGGCCGCCACTTCCACGCCGACTCGCCGGGCGCCCTGCACGCGCTGCGGTGGACCCTGCGGGCTCCCCCCCCCCCCCCCCCCCGATTCGATTCGATTCGATTCGATTCGATTTCGATTTCGATGGCTCATCCGATTTCGATCCGATTCGATTCGATTTCGATTTCGATTCGATTCGATTCGATTCATTTCAATTCCTCCGATTCGATTCGGTTTCGATGGCTTCCGATTTCCGCCGGTTTGACTCATCCTGACTCGGCTGCCGAGTTCCGCCGGTCCGATGCATGTCGATCGCCGGTCCGACTTCTCGGTTCGATTCTGGGCTGTCGGGGAACCGGCAAGGACACAAACATGCTCGTCGGTCGTTGAAAGTCGGTAGTCTTGGAGTCGCAGATCATCCCAGTCTACTTGAGGCGTCTTCCCACTTCAAGGATCGAGTGGCTTCCCCTCTTCGATCCTCCTCGGGGGACGGGCGGAAGCCCAGTCTGCCTCCAGCGCCTTCTTACTACATGTTTATACCCACTTCTTCCGACCGATGGGTACACTTTCGGGGAATCGTTCTCTTGTTCATTGTTCTGCCGATCAGCGCGGGCCCTGCCCTCCCCCCCCACCGTCCCCCGCCATGGAGTAGACCTTGGTTGTTTTTGGCGCCTGTTTCAAGCAGGTGGAGTAAGCACGGGAGTCCGCAAGTCAGCCCTCGGCCGCCTGTTTCAAGCAGTGTAAGTGTTTCAAGCGGCCCTCGGGAGTCCGCAAGATTTCTCGGATCCGTGCTGGAACCCCCCAGCGGCTTTCTCCAGCGCCGCCCCTGGCGCGCTCCGCGCGCCAGGAAATGGGGGCGACGTTCCAAGAAATCCGCGCGGACCTCTAACATTTGATTATTCTCAACCCTCCCTGCGCTGGGTTCTCGTTCTGAATAGAGCACTGCTCGCGTGTCTCCTCCTCATCCCCTCACTCCTGCCTCCTACCACCTCCTCCGCCCACCTTCTCCCGCATCCTGTGCGCTCCCTGTCGTGGCAGGGACGGCGGAGTGCAGGGCAGCGCAGATCAGTTGAGACCTCGCGGCTCCGGTGGGGGCTGCCAACCGCGCAACCGTCGCCGCTGTCGTGGGCCTCCTGGAAAGCATGGCGGAGGAGCTCTCGCGGCTCCGTCGGGGGCTGCGAGCAGCGCAACCGTCGCCACCTCCGTGGGCTCTTGGGAGGCACGGCGGAGTGCAGGGCGGCGCAGACCATTTGAGACCTCGCGGCTCCATCGGGGGCTGCGAATCGCGGAACCGTCGCCATTCTCGTGGGAGTGGTTCGTCCCGCGGATTCCTGCGATACCTCGTGGCTCCGGCCGGGGGCTGCGGAATTGTGTTGCTTTCCTGTGCTCATGGGAGACCCGGCGGAGGTGCAGGGGGAGCGCAGATCAGTTGAGATCTCGCGGCTCCGTCGGGGGCTGCGAACGGCGCAGCTGTCGCCACTTTCGTGGGCTCCTGCGAAGCACGGCGGAGTGCAGGGCAGCGCAGATCAGTTGAGACCTCGCGGCTCCCTTGGGGGCTGCGAGCTGCGCAACCGTCGCCTTTTTCGTGGGCTCCTGCGAAGCACGGCGGAGTGCAGGGCGCCCGCATGCCCCGCGAGCCCGCGTGGCGCGTGGTGAGACCTCGTCATTTAGCGCTCGGCGCTTGTGCATCGCGCGGCGCAGAACGCTGGATGCGTTCTTTTGTATTGAGCGCTCACATAAATCACCGCCTCACGTGGAGAAGGGTGTTGGGTACAGTGGAGGCCCATGCCAAGAAACACCCTGCTTGCCTCCAGGGTGCCTTGGCTTTCTTGGGTTTCGATGGTTTTGCTATAGAAGTCGTGACGTTCTGACACCAAACATCGATGGGCGTCCTGGGGTCTCAGGGTTGTGTTTCTGGTGGAAGTTTTCTTGTGGACTGGCCTCCACTGTATGGAGCGCTCATATAGATAATCGCCTCACGTGGAGAAGGTGTTGGGTACGCCTCATGTGGCGTCGCCTTTCTGAAGCAAAAGAGGGCAGGCGGGGGGTACGAGGGACAGTGCTCGGGGAACAGCCAAGGACATAAACATACAAACTCGATCGCGTGGATTTCTCGGATCGGCGCTGGATACCCCTCCCTGGCGCGCGGAGCGTGCCAGGGCGGCGCTGGAGGCGCCGCCAGGGGGCCCCAGCGCCGATCCGAGGAATCCGCGCGGACCTCCGAGTTTTTGTTTATGCCATTGTCTGTTTCCCCGAGTGCCTTCTCCTCGCCAGGCCTCACCGAGTGCGTTCCACTACTCGCAAAGTATCCACTCGCAATCGTCCGAAAACCACATGTCTGCCTCGGTGCAATGGATCGTAAAGCCCGCGCGGCGGATCCAGGCCATTCGCGAGTAATTGCTTTGCGAGTAGTGGAACGCGCTTGTCTAGGCCTCCTAGATGGGGTCCGGATAGATGGGGTCGGAGGATCGCACCGTATCGCCTGCATCGACGATGCGGCTCGATGTTGAGCTCGATTTTCTCCGCGCTGGCGTCGCCGCTGCACCGCCGACGTCGCCGATGCATCGCCGATGCATCGTCGATACATCGCCGATGCTTTGGCGATGCGTCGCGATCCTCCGACACCATTTAATCGGACCCTATCTAGGAGGCCTCATGTTCTTGAGGGATGCTCTTGAAGATGATCTTCTCTGGCCGATGGTGGGTCTGATGTTCTTGAGGGGTGTTCTGCTGTCCTAGGTCAAACTGTCTAAGGCCTTGCCAGTAGTGGAACGCGCTTATCTCGGGCCAGAAGCCAGGCGAAGGCTGGCAAGCATGCAGAGCTCCATTTTTTTTTGTTCTTCCGGGAAACATGCAGCGCGTTTATCATTTAGTGCGCTGAGCTTGATTCCAGGAGTTTGTTTTTTCTTCCGGGAAAACCGTTTTAGGAGCTACGGATTTGACAACCCTCGCCCAGCTTCTAATCAGGCTTGGCTCTGCTTCATCCTGGCCGCCGTGGAGTTTGACCTCCTCGGCTCCACCGCTGAGCAGAGGCCGGGCGGCCGCCGGGCGGCGCGCGCCCGCTCATCGTCCCTTGGGGGCCGTGGGGGGGGCCACCAGTGCGACCCGAGCGCTGCTCGTGCGCCAGGGCTGCCTCGAAACCACGGCAGACTCATGCGGTGTGTTCATGTGCCTCTCTCTTCCTCCCCTTTCTCTTCCTCCTCCTCCTCCTCCGCCCCCTCGTGCACCAAGGCTCTCCTGGTGCCAGAAACGAGCGTTCCTTACCCAGCGTTCCTTGTTCCATCAGCCCGGCTGTACGGTTGGTTCATTCGGCGATGGCGCGCCGGCGACGCCGGCGAAGGCGTTAAAGGTTGGAATTCTGCGACGTGGAGGCACCGAGGGACACTGACGCCACTGGACCCGACGGAGTTCAACCCTGAACGATCGGGGCCGCGATCGGTTCAAGGTTGAACGAGCGACGCGGTGTCAAAGACCGTGCGCGCCGGCGCCGCGCGAACCTATCGTAGAATCGGCACCATTCGGATTCTCAAAGGGGGTCTGAAGCATGCAGGCAATAGTTCGTGTAATCGTTCGTGAGGGATTCGCACGTCGTACAACATCAGCACGTGGCTGCCACGAGCCATGCGTTGCAGGATTAACTAATGCATGTTTTGCGACCCCACTACGAAAGACCCTCTTTGCCTGGAGCCGAATCACCCAAACATAGTAATACTACGTGCGCGTCTGCACCCCAGGGGCGACTCGCGCGCCGAGACAACTTCTAGTATATGCTCGGTGGCGGGTGCTTTCTGGCCATACCGCCCGGAAAACGATTATGCTACGAGACGTTCGTATCAGGTGTTTGGGTCGGACCTGCGCCTCTAACAGAGGCACATAAGAACTAGCATTCGGAGGTGGACAGAACTCCTGCCCGGACACGTCGATTAAGGAATTGGCCCTTTTCGGTTTGCGAGAGGGCGTCGCGGCCGTCATTTTTGCGGGTCCACGGTTTCGGTCCCAGGCCGTTTTCACTAAGGGGAGGTTTACTAAAGGGAGGTTTGTCCACCGCCGAAGTATGTCGTTGTGCGTCCCAGAGTACGCTCGGGAACCGTACAGTATATCGAAGGATAGCAACATTCAACGCATAAGCCTTCGAATGCCCGCGTGGGTTTCTCGGTTCTCGACGCTAGGTCCCCGTGGCGCCGCCGCCCCTGGCGCCGCCCCTGGCGCCGCCCCTGCCGCCGCCCCTGGTGCGCCCCGCGCGCCAGGCCGACCGAAGAAGTCTGCGCGGACCTTCGAACGTTTGGGTTTGTGCAGTTTCGTCCTTCCTTTCCATTCGCATCCTGACACCTTCGAGCGTTTAGGTCTATGCAACATCTCCGTCCTCTACATTCGCATCCAGGCAACGGTCGCTTCAGATCTGTCCGTTGCTGCCGTAGCCACTGTCGGGTGCGAGTGCACAGTGCCCCTGCCGCTTCCACCACTGTCTGAAATCAGCCAGCAGATGAGACCCCCTCAATGCCACCGTTGGGCTCGGCCCAGGAAGCAGAGGTGGGGTTTCAGAGACATGGACCATCATCGGCCATCATTGGCACCTCCGGCCCGGGAGGACGCCAGTTGCAGACCTAGAGCCTATGGGGTAGTTGGCCAAGCTCTGAATGGGCGCAGCAGTGGTGCATCGAGGGGAGCTGGGAAAGCGCATCCGTGGCAGGCCTTTGATCTCCCAGCAGCTTGACAACCAGACGCTTTGCGTAGCCTCACCAGCCCACCCAGAAACTGTGCCCATGCGAGTTGCCCTGATCAGGGATGTGGAGGGGCACGCAGTGCAATAAAGGGCCGGGGAAGCCACCGTACCCCAAGAGGGGCAGGATGGAGGAGGAATCGAAGGGGGAGGGGGAGGGGGAGGGATGATGGAGGTGGAACGAGGGAGGAGGCTGAGGAGGAACAGGCGGATGAGAAAGACGAGGAGGAGGAGGAGGAGGAAGATGAGGATGGCCAGCAGAGAGACCAGAGGCCTCCTGGATGTCCCTCGGAGTCTCTTCCGATATCTCGTGGGAGTTTCTTGGGGTCCTACTGTGGTGTCTTGGGGGCTTCTTGGCGGTCCCGGGGGCCTTTTGAAACATCGCGGCTACCTTGGGGGAGCCTCTTTGGGCCGCTTGGGAACTCTTCGGGAGCCTACTGAGGACCTCTAGGGGCCTCCCGCCTCTTGGGGTCGTCTTGGGGCACCCTTGGGAGCGTCGGTGGCCATCTTTGGGCCATCTTGGAGGAGATCGATCAACAGAGGGGGGTTTCTTGATTTGGCCCACCCCAGGAGGTCAAAATGGGCCCCAAACCAAACACAAAACATTGATTTTGGCCTTCTCGCCCTGGCCATTTTGGACGCTCTGACACCTCGCGAAACGCCCCGTCCAGGTCCAGGGGGAGGGGGTAGGGGGAGGGGTCAAGACTCCCTCCCCGCCCGCAAGCCGTCTCGCTCACTCCCACCCGCCCTCCCAACACATCGTAGCACCCGAGCCTGGCCCGAGCCGCAGCATATTCAGCAGTCGTCTTTGGATGGGCAGGGCAGCTACTGGGGGCGAATCTGCCGCCGCCGCCGCCGCCTCTGCCGCCGCCGCCGCCGCCGCCCGCCGCCGCCGCCGCGCCGCCGCCGCCGCCGCCCGCCGCCGCCGCCGCTGTCCGCCGCCGCCGCCGCCGCCGGTGTCCGCCGCCGCCCCCGCCGCGCCGGCCGCCGCCGCCGTCCGCCGCCGCCGCCGCGCCGCCCGCCGCCGCCGCCGCCGCCGTCGCCGCCGCCGTCGCTGCCGAATCGCCGCCGCCGCAGCTGCTGCCGCCGCAGCCGCTGCCGCCACCGCTGCTGCCGCCGCCCCTGCCGCCACCGCCGCCACCGCCGCCGCCGCCGCCGCCGCGCCGCCGCCGCCGCCGCCGCCGCCGCTGTCCGCCGCCGCCGCCGCCGCTGCCGCCCGCCCGCCGCCGCCGCCGCCGCCGTCGCTGCCGAATCGCCGCCGCCGCAGCCGCTGCCGCCGCAGCCGCTGCCGCCACCGCTGCCGCCGCCGCCGCCGCCGCCGCCGCCGCCGCCGTCGCCCCCGCCGCCGCCGCCGCCACCGCCGCCGCCACCGCCGCAGCCGCCGCAGCCGCTGCCCCCGCCGCAGCCGCCGCACCCGCTGCCGCGGCCAAGTCTACGGTGTATTGTTTTTGTTTCAGGGGTGGTGGGGGGAGACCGCATCGGGGTCGCTGCGCATGCTCCGAGTTTGGAGGCAGAGTGTGTGTTTGCATTGTTTTTTTGCAAGGGATGGTGGGGGGTGCCCTCATAGTCCCTGGTTGGCTCCCAGGCGCTTGGGGGAGGGGGTGTATATTAATAGGGAACAGTGATCAAGACACCTTCCCGCCCGCAAGCTGTCTCGCTCACCCCACTCGCCCTCCCAACACAGAAGTAGCACACCGGCTTCAGCATTTTCAGCGGTCGTCTACTACTGATGGGAGGAATCGGTACAGGCCCCATGTGCGCGACGCGGGGGCGAGGTGCGCCACCCGTACCAGGCCCTCCAGGTGCGCCAGGCGCCCGTCGGGCCCAAGCGTGCCAGGCACGCCTCGCGCGCCAGATGCGCCACGTGCTCCACGTGCGCCAGGTGTGCCGCATGGTCCAGCCGCGCCAAATGCGCCACATCCGGGGCACACGCAGAGTGTGCCAGGTGCGCCCGCGCACGTGACAGCACACATCGTGAAACATGTCGGCCCTCACCATCTTTGATGAAAACCACAGCGGGGAGGCCATCATGGTGTCTGGTGGGCCTGCACGCAGCAGGCAATATGCCAGCACCCCCGTGGCCCCTGTCAAACACCACTGGACAGTGATCGCGGGACGGCCGCGCATGATCATTTTTTCCTTTTTTGGACAGGGACTATGAGGGCACTCCCGCCGTCCCAGTCAAAGACAATACAAAGTGCTCGCGGGGCCCACGAGCATGACCCACGATTTTGCCCCAAAGTGTGCTTCGTATTGTTTGTGACAGAGATGGGATGGGTGAGTGTTGGCATTTGTCCTGGTTGGCCGCCAGTCGCCTGAGGGAGGGGGTGTTTATTAATAGGGAACATTGATGAACCCTTCCCCGAAGGGGAAGAAGGGGAAGCTGGAAGAGGAAACTCTCTAAACCATTACACTCATGCCCTAAAGGGCTGCTCGCCCTTTTCAGCATGGCCTCGCCTGGAGTTCTAACGTTAGTCTCGTGAGGGTTGGTTGTGGTTGATGGTTGGTTGTTAACATTAGTCTCGTGCGTGATGCCATTTATACCGATCTGGTTCTGCCGTTCTAGTTCGGTACCCGTTTTGTTCCCATCTGATTGCAGCTATCTGGGCGTGGAGGATCGCAAACTGAGGACGTGCGGTTGCTCAAGTTGTTCTTCCTGATCGACGCTCGTCGATTGCGCTCGCGCGCAGTCGACGATCCCACGCTCGTTTGATCTGGTCTTTTCTAGCATCTCTTGGTTTGGGTTGATCTGTTCGTGAATGGACTTGTCCAATCTCGTTGGCTCTTGTGGCCTTGTTTGGTATGTTTGGTATGCTGTGATATGGTTACAGCGTGGTCCAGCTTCGTGCGATATGATCTGGTCCGTTGTGATCAAGCGGAGGAAGCGTGAGAGGAAACGAATCCGTGTGGTACCATTCCTGAGAGGCCCTCGCCAGCCTCTTGGGATCTTCTCGGCTGTCTTTGTAGGGACCACTTTGCCGTCTTGACCACCTCTTGGGATTATTGATGTCCTCCTGCGGGCCTCTGGGGATCGTTGGAGTCGCCTCCTTGTAGCCTATTGTGAATCTCCTCAGCCATTTTTGCGACTCGTTATGCCACATGCAAACCCTGCCCCTGCCCCCACGATCTCTGGGGGGGAGGGTGGCGTTCACGTCGTTCGGGAGCTCTCGAGCGAAGTGAACCCCACCCTCCTCAGAAGTCGTGGGGGGCATGTGCAGGGTTCGCCTGTGGCCCCCTGCCGGTAACGGGCTTAGCATCAACAATCTGCTCCAGTGGGGGTGTACCCTCACCACCCACCAAACCACCCCAACCCAACCCGAAGGCCTCAATTTGCCCTCCATTTCCACTTGGGGGGGTCGGGGATCATTGAACAAAAACACACATGAAGCCCGTACCCCCCCCAACCCGAAATTCGAGGGGGAGCTCGGGGCACGGCCCCAGACCAGCAGCCAGGACCGAGGACCGGTGGGACTTCGGCGGCCTCCGAGGCGGTGCGGTGACCGCACCGTGTGGTGAGTCAGCTGGGGGGCCACATGTCAGAGGCCAGCAACATGTGTACACGTACGCGGTTAGCTTCCCCTGGAGGGCGTTTGAACGAGGACGTTCTTGCGCTCAAGACCGCGGAGGGCGTACATGTACATATGTCGTTGCTCGCTCAACATGCGAACCCTACCCCTACCCCCCCCCACGACTTCTAAAGGGGAGGGTGGGGTTCACTTCGCTCGGGAGCTCCCGAGCCATGTGAACCCCTCCCTCCCCCTCAGAAATCGTGGGGGGGGGGGTGGGGGTAGGGTTCGCACGTGGCCCCCTCTATCAGCGGGGAGTGGCCTCGAGGCTCTTGTGGCCCTGAGCTGGGTCGTTCTCCGAGGATGTTTCTGACGACTGGGGCCTCCAGGGTCCCGGAGCGGTGCAGTGGCGGACCTTGCGGTGGAGGAGCAAAGACTGCCGAGAGCCCATCGGGGGGGGACCGACCACTAGGCGGTGGCACGCCTGATCGTCGTCCTGGCCCCCCCCCGATGGGTTCTCGGTGGCGGTGGTCTCTGTTTGTCCTCTGAGTTTTGGGACGCCCAAGGATTGCAGTCGGACCGAGGTATAAGATTGAGATCGGTTCGGCGAGGGTACCCTAGTGTTACTCGTGTTTGTTGGATGTTCTTGTGCATTCTGGGGAGGGTACCCTTGGATGTTCTGCTTGTTTTGGCCGACGCAGGGTCTCATTCATGTTCTTGAAGGATGTTCTTCTAGCCTGGGTCCGACTGTACTGGCCGACAGGTTTCTAGCCCTGGCTGGCATCCGCCCTGGCGGGCCCTTCAAGGGCAACGTCAGGGGGGGAATAGGCTCAGGGGGGGGCGTTGACTCCCCATCGGCCCTTGATTGCTGATTAGGGGCTCCGTGGCCCACCCCCGCCCATGACCGAATCCAGTGCCCGCCGCCGATCTATCGGCGATGTGTCGCCGATTCCAGGTCGAAGGTTCCTCCCCCCCGAGCTGGTCCTATGGTGGTTTTCGGGTCCCAGCTCGGGCCTTCAGCGGCCGTTCGGGACGAGTCGGGTCCCTCGGGAACGCCCTCGGCGAGGCGCGGCCGCTGGAAGGCATCCCGAAGCAGGAGCACCTCCAGGGAGCGACGGAAGCCCAGGAAATCCTGAAGCCTCCAGGTTCGGACTTCGAATCGGCGGCGCGCCCGGGGGGGGGGGAAGCGAGAGGGTGCAGGCCTTCTCAGAAGGCGTCGGGGTGTCTCAGAGTCCTCGGAGAAGGCTCGGAGCACGTCTCAGTTGGCCCGCGGCCCTCCGAGCCTTCTGCGAAGGCCCGCCCCCTCTTCATCCCCCCCCTGGGCTCGCTGCCGATCAAGCATTCCCCGACGCTGCCCCCCTTGGCCCCCAGGCGCGACGGCCTCGCGGTCTGCCTCGCGCTCGTCGCGTGCGTCGCCGTGGTGCTGGTGGCGCTCGACCTGGCGCAGCAGTGCTGGGCGCTCGAGGCGGGCGCGCTCCCCCCCCCCCCGGGGGTGCGAGCACTGGGGGGGGCGGTGGCTCTGCGCACGCGCGCGGCACGGCGCGGGGAGACCGAGCGGGGCCTGCTCGCTGCAGGATCGTCGGCTTGATGGCGCGGCGTGGCCAGTGAGGCCACCGAGGGCGGAGGCAGAGGCGGCGGAGGAGGGGGAGGAGGAGGAGGAGGAGGAGGAGGAGGAGGAGGAGGAGGAGGAGGAGGAGGAGGAGGAGGAGGAGGAGGGCAGGCAACAGGTGGGACCACCCTGGGCAATTGCCTGAGATGGGTGCGACAATTGCAAAATCATGGTGAGTTTTGCTCGCCATACGTGCTGGAGGTGGAGGAGGAGGACGAGGACGGGGACGACGACGAGGACGGGGAGGAGGATGGGGCGCGCCTGAAACACCGCGCAAGAGGCTCTGCGCACGCGCACGGCACGGCGCGGAGAGAGCATGGGGCGCGCCCGAAGTGCATATGACGAAGGGCCGCGCAAGAGTTCCTCCCCCCGCCTCTTCCCGCTGCGAAGCAGAAACGAATCACGGCGCGAGGCCTTTGGCAAGTTTCGGATTCCGGGAGCCTCACCAGGGCCCGGGACCGTCAGACAACGACTCGGAGTGACGAGGTGTCTCTGGGGAAGGGGTCTTAGACCTTGGGGGGTCGAAGTCGCGAGAGAAGACGCGACGTCGGAGGCTTGGGGCGCGTCTCATGGAGCCTGCGCGAAGAACCACGCAAGTCTTCGAAGAAGAACGAACTCAGGAATAAAGAAAACTCACACAGACAACGAATCATCGATTCCCAGGAAATTCCAGGAGCATCTGGGAAGATGAGGGGAAGACGAAAGTCAAACAACTTGAGAAAACACGGGAAAGCTTGGGATTTGTATCTATTAATTTGTGTGTCCCAGGGCCCCTTCACGTGGGGCCTGCGCGAAGCCCCACGCAAGTTTCATTCAAAGAAGATCAAGCGGCATAAGCAGAAGCTGTCGTCGGAGGCTCGCGCGGATTTCTCGGATCGGCGCTGGCTCGCCCTTGCAGCGCTTCCGGCGCCGCCCTGGGCGAGTTTCGCGCGCAAGGAAATGACGAACGAGCAGCACGCACCAATACCCATTGGGAGGTCGGAGGGAGGATGACTGGCTAAGGGTATGGGTGCGGGTTGTCGGGCCCTGGGGGAACCTTCCGTTTGAGCGGGGACCCCCATCCGACAGCATGTGTTGCCACCGAAGTGTAGGGGAGGCCATCATTTCATCATGTTTGGGTGGGGGCGGGATGGTCTCTCCCTCCCAGCTTCTCCCGCTTGCCGCAAGGTTGTATGATTTGGTGGTTCACCTCGGCTTGTTGCCTGCACCGTTGACAGCTCTGTGCGTGTACCCCCTGCCGTACACCAGCCCCGATCCTGGTCAGGCCCATTCTCACTCCGTATGCGCCCTCCTGGCTCGGTAGGCAGAGCACGTGCGCCGACTCTTGGCGGAGCACATGCACCGGCAGGTCGATGCACATCGAGTTCTGCGCGGGTGGGCCTGGTGGCTGCGCAAGAAGTTGGAATTTTGGGAGAGGCGAGAAGGGGGGACGGAAAAGAGCACATGCGCCGACTCTTGGCCTAGGATGGGCCTGGCCAGGAGCGGTGTCGGTGAATGCCTGGCGCCCTCCTGAGACGGGCTCGGATAATAGGCAAAGGAACCTGCCCTGACCCCAGGGACAAAGGTTGTGTTTCAGGAGTTCGATGCCGTTTTGGTGCAAATCGTGTTGAACGCTTGAGCGCAGGACAGAAAAACGCTCCTCATGGTAGCGGAGCTGGGTCAGGCTCCGCGGGCCTCGGCTTCCGCCTGAATGCCGCCTGGCTCCCCGTTGCTGGGTCTCACAGCTGGGAGTTGATCGCCGCCAGGGAGGAGCGGCCCGAGGTGATCGAGCGGTGGCGCAATGTCCTCCGCAGCATAGACTCTTCTTCAAGCGGCGCTGCTAGACGTGGCTCGGCCAGTACCTGAAGAACTACGTTGAGCTTTGTTCCCGACCAGAGCCTCGATCGAGACCATGACGACACCCGAGCAGCGCGTGGCGCAGTTCGAGGAGAACTACCAGCATGTGTGTACGGAGCTGCGCGACCGGCGGGCCCGTGAGAGAGTCCTCGAGGAAGACCACGAGCGACTGCGACAGCGAGCTGATGGCGGATGTGGCGATGCCCGACGCAGGGAGTCAGGGTTGTTCGACACTGGGATCCTTGGCAAACCGAACCTCTTCATGGGCGAAAAGGGCAAGCGGAATGTCTGGAAGGCCATCTTCAGCGGGTGCGAGAGTGTGGTCAGTGGCGAGATCGCACGTGGCATGGCTATGGCCGAGGGCCCGGGCGAGGTGTCGGTTCTGAACATGGACGTGGATGACGAAGACTTGGCATCGTCATCCCAGTATTTCCTGATCCTCTTCGGCCGCCAGCACCCTTTTACGATGGTGGTGAATGCTGGCGAGCATCAGGGTTTCCTGGCGTGGCCGAAGCTTGTCGAGTACTACGAACCCAACGTGATGTGTCGACTGGTGGGATTGCTGCTCAACCTGTTGAACTTCTCGTTCGCGGGTGTCCTCGAGGATCGCCCGGGCATCCTCGTGCGAGAGAGAGCTGACGCGCTACGAGCTGGAAGTCAGGGGCCTGTCATCGCCAGCATGCGCATTGTCATCGTGATGAGACAGGTCGAGGACGGCCCGCTCAGGCAGCACCTCCTGCTGAACGCGGCCCGCATTCAGGGGTGGCAGGTCTTCGGGCGCGAGACCGCTGACGTCCGTCGAGTCTAGACCGCCGTTTGCCGGGCGCCCATGGGCCTGTGCTGAACCAAGGCAAAGGCTCCAAGGGCCAGGATTCCAAGGGCAGCGGCGCATGCGAGGACAACAAGATTAGTTGCGGCGGCGCGGGCAAGGAGTCCAAGGGCAAGCCCGAGGACCCCAAGAACACCGGCGGTGGCAAGGCCAAGGGCATGGTGAGCACGCTGGTCGACGCATGGAACTTTGGCCAGGCTCAGAGCGGGCGAGGCAACGTGACTCGCTGGACCTTTGGCGGCTCTGGCCACGGGCGGCGCGACTGCCCCAGCCGCGCCAGGGAAGGAGGCTGCGCAGTTTGGTGGCGACGCTGGCGGCCTTGAACGCCGCGGGCATCTCCGCGCAGCTCAGACCTCCCCGCGCGGTGAGTGCGGCCGGCGCGACCCGTCGGAGGCCGGAATTCCCGCCCTCGGCCGCGAGCGCGCGCCGTGGGGCCATTTGGACTCGCGGGGTCGAGGCGGTCTACCTCGATGCCCCGCCCGGGGGCGTGGGCGAGGCCCTGGCCCTATTCGTTGGGCCCCGCGTGCTCGACTTTCCCGATGCGTCTCCTCGGAGGGCGCAGCTTGCGAGCCTCGTCGGGATCGGCGTCGACAGTTGCGCAGCGACCTCGGTGCCCCCCCCCTTCGTCGCGCTCGTGCGCCCCCCCTCAGGGACCGGCGTGGCGGCGACGTGGCGACGTGCAGGAACGCTAGCAGCCGCGAGGTCCCCGACCTGGGCGAGCGCGCGATCGTCGGCGCGCCGACGGGGTCGGACTCGCTGGTCGACGCCAAGTCACGGGGGCCGACGCCTCGCGGGCGCGGATGAGTGCCTCGGAGATGGTCGACGCTGCGTACCGCGTGGTGTTCGACGAGGGCGGCGACTACGACGCCTCGTGCGTCTACCGCGAGCCCAGCGGCCAGCAGTGGCGGGCTGCCCGCAGGGACCGCGTCCACGAGATGGACCTGCAGGTGCTGCCGTCGGCAGAGGCGCGCGCGGCCTTGCTCAGTGGGCGGCGGAGACTTGCGTGCCGGTTCGCCCGGCCCGAGCGGACGATCAGGAGGCCGCCCTCGCTGTGGCGGCCTTGGGCCTTCGACCGCGGCTATCTCGGCGCGGCCGAGGGCGACGGCTTCCCGCTTCTTGCCGGGAAGGACCAGAAGCGCAGGTGGTTCTACGCGTCTCTCGTGCCATCGAAGGGCGCGGCCACCCCCTGGCTGGCGAAGGCCTGGGCCGCCATGCTCGCTGCTGCGGGCCATCGGCGCTTCGTCCTCAGGTCGGACGACGAGGCGAGTCTGGCGGCCTTGAAGTCTGACGGCCGAGGTTAGGGCTGACCCCGTCCATCGAGGCGGCGCCCGCGGACCCCGCAGTCGGCGACTCGCAGGGCAACGGCCTCGGGGAGCACGCTGTCCGCGAGGTCGAGGCGAAGCGCAAGACGTTCGAGTCCGCGACCGAGGCACTACGCGACATCACCATTTGGCACCAGGCGCCCTTGCCCCCCGTGGCTTGTGGAGTGCAGCGCCATGAGCATCAGCCTTGGAGGGCGAGGGCCAGGCGGCAGGGCGGCGTGGGGGCTCAGGCACGGCGGGGCCTTCGGCAAGCAGCCCCCGCCGTTCGGCGAGGTGGGGCCGGCAAGTTCCCGCCTATGCTGCAGAACAAGTTCAGCAAAGGCATCTACCTCGGCCCGACCCTGCGCTCCGACGAGGCGTGCATCGGCACGGCGCCGGGCGCCATCCGCGCGCGCGCGGTCAAGCGGCTGCCAGAGGGCGAGGGGCGCGACGAGGGCCCTTTGGACGGCATCGCTGGCGCGTCCTGGGCAGCAGTCCCGTCGGGCCCGAGCGGCGAGGTGCGTTATCGAGATCCGTGTGCCGGCTAGTCGCCCTGATGCCCTTGCCGCTGCTCGGGCACCGTTGGGCCTGGTGGTGCCGCCTGAGCACCTCCCTCCTCGGGCTTCGGCATGTGGGCCCCCAGGGCCCAAGGGCGCGTGCGTCAGGAAGGTCGTGGGGCCCGCGAGGTACGGCTTCGTCGCAGGTTTCCCCGGCTGCGTGGCAGCCGAGCTCGGCGTGCGAAGCCAGGCGCACTTGGCGGAGTGCCGGTCGCGCATTGAGGCAGAGATGGCCAAGGGGGAGTCGCTGGTAGTGCGTCTCGAGTCGGCGCGCGAGCGCAAGCGTTGCAGGCGCTCGGGGGGCCCCTTCGACCCTGGCTGGAGCTCCCCCCTCGACTCCAGCAATGGCAGTCTCTTCGTCTTCAGCGGCAGTGGCGCCTTCGGCGCCATGTCCTGCCGTCGCGCGCGTCGACGCGTCGGTGCCGGATGACGCCCCTATGGGCGGGCGATTTCTCGGCCTTGATCCTGGGCCTCGGGCGCAACGGCGTGGGGGGACTTACGCGGTGGAAGTTTTCATGTCGGGGCGGCTCGCGCCCCTTTGTCAGCTTCTTGGGTGAGTGCACGGCGGCGGCTTTGACGTGCTTAGCTGGAACCTGAGCGACGAATGTTAGCGGGCCAAGTGCTTGAAGCTGATCAAGTATTTCGAGCCGGTCATGGTCCTCGGGTGCCCCGTGTGCGCCTTGTTCTCGAACTTCGTCGCGCAGCAGCGCGTCGCCGACTGCGATATCGGCTTCGAGCACTTGAGATTCGCGTGCGACATCTACGGCGTCCGGGTGGCCAGGGGCGACGTCTCCATGCGCGAGCATCCGTGGGCGGCCACGTCCTGGGCCTCAGACGCCATCGTTAATTTTCTCCGGGCTCCCTGTGTCGAGGTGCGTTGTGGTGATCAGTGCGTGTTTGGTCTCGTCGTGCCGGGCGCCCACGGGAGTCGGCTTGCCAGGAATCTGGCTGGATGGGTCAGCAATTGCCCTGATCGAGCGACTCGGGCGTCGGCTCGCCTCGCCAGCGCGGTGCCGTCGTCGGCAGGGGCATGCGCGCGGCTGAGCGCCGCGCTCCACAGCTCTTGAAGGCCATGCTTCGCGGCCTCAGGAAGCTCGTCCAGCGGCGGCCCGACCTGGCGATCGGCGCGCTGGACTGCGGTCCGCGCGCGGGCGACGAGGAGCTGGGCCTGCGGGGGTTCGCGGGCCAGTGGCGGGATTCGGTGAAAAGTGAGTCTTGCGACGACCTCGCAGGCCTGGCGATGGGCCCCGGCTTCGTTCGAGCAGGGCGCCGCGTCGAGATTGGTTTCGCGGCCGGGCTCGGCGATCGCGGCGTCTGGGAGTGCAGCGCTGTCGGAGTGCGCGCGCGACACAGGGCGAAGGCCCATGGGCGCGGTCTGGTCTGACGCGGATGGGGGCGACCAGGGCCGCCCAGACTTTCAAGGGCAGGCTCGTGGTTCAGGAGACGCGGGCCCAGGGCGCGACTGTGCCAGGAGACGTCGTTGCCGTTTCTGCAGCCACACCTCCCCTGGAGTGCTTGCGACTCATGTGCTCAACGGTCATGTCGAGTGGTCCAGCTGAGGGCCGGTGCCTCCGCTTCATGGAAATCTCACGTGCTCACCCTCACTGCGAGATCAAGCGGGTGGTGTACATCCGCCTCCTCGAGGAGGGCCCTTGCAGACGGCGTCTGTGGCGAGCTTTTGATGGCCCTCTACGGTGCCCACGATGCCGGCCAGAATTTCGAGCTGACGACCACGGAGGTGCTGCCGCACTGCGGCTTCCAGCAGAGTGCCTTCAGCCCGTGCGTCTACCAACGCGAGGAGAAGCGCTTGGGCCTCTTCCACCATGGCGACGATTTCGTTGTCGAGGGGGTCGCGAGGCTTCCGCCTGGGTGACGGACCAGCTCAGCACCGAGTTCGTCGTCGGGGACCGCGGTGGGCTAGGGCCAGAGCCGCAGGGCCGCGATGAGATCGGGCGATCAGGCGGCGCGACCGGTGGTCCGCAGGGGGCGAGGCCATCGATTGTGAAGCTGATCTGGGACATGTCCAGATCCTCCAGTCCCCCCAGCTCTGGCTCTACGGTGAGAACGCGACGCCGGTCGCCTCTCCAGGCGTGAAGGTGGCCACTGCGCCAGAGACGGAGGGCGAGCTGAACGAGGATGATGAAGCCGCGTAGTTTCAGTCTCCATGCATGCGCATGGCGTGCCTCGTGATGGACAGTCTTGGCCTGAGGTGCAGTGCGCAGCCAGGGAGTGTGCGCGGGGCATCGCTCAACCTGCGGCTCAACTCGGCCAGAGGCTCAGGCGTTGCGCCCGCTTCTTCAAGGTGCACCGCGAGCCGTCTGGCTCTATTGCAGGCAGCGTCAGCCCAATGCTATGGACGTTTGCTGCGACGCGGACTGGGCTGGCTGCCCAGTCGCGACAAGGAGAACCTCATCGGTGGTCGTCGATCGCGGCCTCCATGCCATCGTGGACGCACCCGCGACTCAGATCCCGATCTCCCTGAGCAGCGGCGAGGCCGAGTTTCGCAGGCTGGCGCGCGCGGGTTCGCGTGCGATGGGCGATGGGCGTGTGGGCCTTCGCGGCTTGCTTCGGGGTCACCGTCGACGTCCGCCTGTGGGCGGACTCGTCTGCGGCCATCAGCATTGCCCAGCGTCGAGGCCGCGGCAAGGTTCGCCACTTGGAGACGCCCGCGGTCTGGATCCATAATGTTCCCCGTGACGGCCGCTTCGCCTCTCCCAACATGACAGGCAAGTTGAATCCAGCTAACTTTGGCACCGAAGATTTGGATGCGTCGACGATGTCCCAGATCGTGCTGCTGGATGAGCCCTTGCGGGGGGCATTGAAGGCTCAGGTTTGACTTTTGTTGCGTTTCAGACCTTTCCTTCCCCCCCCCCCGCGTGCGCCCGCCCGAGCCGAGCTTTGCGCGTGGTGGCGGAAGCTTACAGACTTGCTCGGAGCAGGTAGTTTTTGTTTCGGCGGCCGCTTCCCCAGGTAAGGGAGGGCGTGCCCGAGGGAACTGGCAAAGGAACCCGCCCCGACCCCAGGGACAAGGTTGTGTTTCAGGGGTTTGATGCACCGCGGCCGTTTTGGTGCAAATCTTGTTGGAGGCTCTCGAGCGCAGGGAAGAACAACGCTTTTCAATAATCGCGCCGCACCGCCGATGTATTGGCGATGCGGCTCGATGTGGAACCCGCTGTTCTCCACGCTGACCCTATCTACTTCGACCCCATGTCGGTCCGTTTTTGGCAATCACGCTGCCCACTTTTCCTTCTCGCTCTAATCCTCGTCGTCGTCCCCCTTCTTCTCCTCCTTCTCCTCTCCCTCGGCGCTGTGCACGTCTGTTCCGCGCGTTGGGTGAGGAAGTAAAAGGCTTTCATGTGGAACCTCCCCGGCCGCACAACAATGGCTTCTAACCGTGCTTTCGGTGTGCGGTTGCGTTCGCATGTTATCGCCAGCTGTCGAATCGTGTTGTCCGCGCTCATCCTCGTCATCCCCCAAAGAACTTCGACCCCGTCTGGGCGGCCTCGAGAGGGCGAGCAATGCCTGCGACGCGTGAGCGTTGCCCCTGCGTGCAGGTCGAGGCTGGGGCAGCGGGCGCCCCCCGCTGGGGTCCACCTGGCGGCGGGTACCCCTCGGAGCCTGCGCCCCGAGCGGCTTCCCAGAGCCCTGACCTGCAGGGGCGGCCATGCGGGGGGGGTGACGACCAAGGGTGGGTGGATCTCAGGACCTGGGCCGTGCTACCTCTCCAGATTCGGGGCTCAATGGGCGGGGGTCGGTGCAAACGGGGGTCGGCCAGAGCGCCGGATCTAGCAGGATCCTGCAGAGCCAGGGGTGCACTGACCCAGGTTTTCCTTCGTGTCATCTCCCTCGCGGCACCCGCAGCTGCAAATGGTTGGATCCTTCGTCCGGCTAATGTGACGGTCCCGGCGCCCGGCCAGGGCCACGCCAAACGCCGAAAATGGCGAAGACCGACAACGACGAAGAGCCTCCGCACTGAGTTTTTCATCGCGCTGGATGTCTGGGCCTGCCGTCTGGAGGTCCTCGGCCGTTTCTCGGGGGGGGCCTCCGTCCAGACTTCTCCCCAAACAGGGCTTGTTACGGGCTCTTATTGTCGGCGTCACCCCAACATACCTATACTATATGTGCGTCGCCCCCCCAGGGGCGGCGCGCGCACCGAGAAATCTTATAGTGTATGCGTCGTGGCGTGCGCTTTCTGGCCACACCGCTCGGGAAACGATATACTACAAGACGGGTATACTATATGTTCGGGTCGGACGCGCGCCTCCGAGGAGGACATATAGTACTAGTATGTCCTTCTGCGTCCCATTATTGGTACTCACGAGGATTTAGATGGGCCTGCCGAGGTTTCGCCACGCTGCCGCCCGTGGGGCGCCTCGTGGCCGCCCCGTGCGCTGGGCGGGTCTGGCGGGGCTTCGCCACGTTGCCGCCGTTGGGCCTCCGTCCTGATTTGTTCCATCACGGGGTTCCAGACGGAAGCCCAGGGAAAGGGACTTCCCAGACCCCCTCGCGCTGCGAAAAAAAACACGACGGGACGTTTTTCGTCATTTTCGGCCGCTGGGGACCCTCGCTGGGCCTCGGGACCGTCGAGCACGACTCAGGATGAAAAACTGGTCCCAGGGAATGGTCTCTCGGGGTCGACATTGCGACAAAAACACGACGTCGGGGGTCTGGGAACGGGACCCCAGGGAAAAGGACTTGTGAGACGGGCGATGCCGATGACTCGAGTCCGCTCGGCTCGGCCCGCAAGGTCGTCGCACGATTCTTGCTCGCATCTCGACGTCTCGGATGCAGCGCCGCGGTCTCAGAAGTGCCTGTCGCTGGTGTCCCTTCCAGGAAGCGCATCACTCCAACACGCTGGACGTCGCGGGTCCGTCCTGTGGTCCCCGGGTTTGCTCTCGGGCAGCGGGGGTGGGTGGGAGGTGGGCAGGCCTCCCGGTGGCCCAGCGACGGGAGGGCCCGCGCGAGGTGTGGAGGGTGAGGACAGGACGAGGCGGAGGAAGGGAAGGTCGGCGGGGGGGAGGAGTAGGAGTAGGAGTAGGAGTAAGAGTAGGAGGGGGAGGAGGAGGGGGAGGAGGAGGAGGAGGAGGAGGAGGAGGAGGAGGAGGAGGAGGAGGAGAGATGATCGAAGGGCTGGGACGCAGAAGAGGGGGGAGGGAGGGGCGAGGAAACGGAAGGAGGGAGAGTCATCGTCGTCGTCGTCGTCGTCGTCGTCGTCGTCGTCGTCGTCGTCGTCGTCGCACGAGGGGTGGCTGTGCTCAGCGGCGGGAGCACGCCTGCGCGAGAGGGGCGGGCGGGGCGGAGGGTGGCCTTTGGCGCCTTCTCGGCCCTGCAGCGGGCCTGGCCTCTCCGGGCGCCGCCCGCGACGGGGCTGCTCTTTGGCGAGGTGCCGCTTCGGTCGGTCGGTCGATCGATGGGCATCGATCTCAGAGGAGGACAAATCGCATTGGGGGAACCGGGTTCGGAGTGCCTCGGGGGGCCGAGTTTCCCCCCCCCCCCCCCCGCCCCCCGTTTTCGGGCTCTCGGGGCCTTCCACGGGCCCGGGGATTGTCAGAACACGACTCCAATGAAGGTCTCGTCCTGGGGGAAGGCCCCAGGGTCCAGGACCTGGTTCGTTCAGGATCCGCTTCGCCCATGCCAATCAGAGGAGGAATAGGTTCCCATACCGCCTGCATTCCCCTCGTTTTCGGCTTTTCGGGCCTCCTGGGAGGCCCTCGTGGTCACCGCTGGATTCGCCCCGAAATTTTGAGCAGAGCGCACCACGGCAGAGTTCCGGAGAGTATCGATCGGCATCGACCAGTCAACAAGAAACAGCATAAGCATATTATTTGTCGGCATTGCGCGCGCATTTCTTGGGATCTGAGCTGGACGCCCCGCCGCCCCTGGCGCGCTCCGCGCGCCAGGGAGGGGGGTCGAGCGCTGATCTAAGAAATCCTCGCGGAGCTCCATCAAATTCATGTCCATGCTGCTGTTGGGTCTTCTGATCGACCGATCGATGGGCATCGTTTAGGCTTCTGCTTCAACCGGATCGATCGATGGGCAGCGGTCGACCTGGTTAAGCAAGAGGACTTGGTGTCGATGGGTCGTCGAAGTCGATAGGTGGGGCATGGATTCGGTGGGGCGGGCTCGATCGGTTGGACGAGGTGCCGTTTTCCCCAGCCCTGCTGTGGGGGTCGGGACCTCGGTCTTTGCAAATGTGCCGTCCCCCGCCCTGCTCCTTCCCTCCGTCATTTAATTACTCTTCCCCCTGCTCCCTCTTCCCCCCTCCCGTGCCCACGCTCCCGCTTCTCCTCCCCCTCCACGCTCCCAGTTCCCCCTCCTCGTCGCCCGCCTCCCGCTGCTCCCCTCCTCTTCCCTCTTTCTCTCCCTCTCTTCCTCTCCGCCGTGCTCCTCCGTGGACCTCGCCCGCCTCTCCATGCGCGTCAAGCCCCCCTCCCCATGAGAAGCTCCAGCGGTGGGCCCGGCGGGCGTCCACGTGCCGCCCGCAGGCCCAGAGTGACCCACCGTCCCCTCGCGCGCTTCGACTCCGCCGTGAGCCGCAGCTCGGGCCCGAGTGAGCGCGTCCGCCAGCCGCCTGCGCGCCCAGAGTGCTCGGCCTCTCGCGCGTTTCGACCAAGAGGAGCGCCCAGGGGGACTCCAGTGTGCGCGTTCCACTACTCGCAGAGGGCCTGCTCTCGCAAACGTCATAAGGAGTCATCATAAAAAAAACATGTGCCTCGATGCGCCGTGTCGTGCATTCTCGCGGCGGCTCCAAGCCATTTGGGAGCAGTAACTCTGCGAGCCGTGGAACGCGCTTGCCGAGGCCTCCTGGATGGGCTTCGGGCAGATGGGGCCGGAGGATCGCACCGCCTCGCCGATGCAATCCTCTGGGAGTTGTGGAACGCGCTTGTCTACCGTGGGCGCGCACGCGTGTGGACCTCGGAGGGCGGAGCAGCCGCCGGACGGCAGGCGGGTCGCCCGCGGTCGCGTGTGGCTTTCCCGTCCGGCGGGGGGAGGGCTCGGCGAGAGCTCGTGGGCGTCTGCCTGGGAGAGGCGCCCCTCTGCCAGACTCGACGACCCGTGGCGGGACTGCCACCGCCTCTTGGCCCACTCTGGCCCCCCCCTCCCGGCCTCCGGCGAGGCGTGCGAGGACATCCTGACGCGCTGTGCGCTGCTCGTCGAGAGCGGCCAGCTCTCTGAGATGGCCGCTTCGCCGGAGGGGTGCGGGGATGGTGCTGTCGAGACTGATTGGGATGTCGACCCTGCCAGATCGAGGGTACCCTCGTGCCCTGAGCTTCGCGACCCATGCCTTCTTACATTCCTACAGCAATGTGATCCTCGGAAGGGTCTTGTGTCCTCTCGCGTGTCCTCTCCACTCAACTCCGGCTACAGGCAGGGGACTGGTGGGGCATCACCGTGTGGTCGATTGCCGCGTTCGCATGCTGCTTGAAGTTGTGTTTCGAGAGGCCTGCTCGAGTATACACGTTTATATTTTCATTGCGTATCCATTCACGTTGGTCGTTGAAAGTAGGTATTTTGGATGCCCGGAACCCAATCTACTTCAAGCGCCTTCCCACTTCAAGAATCGATATGCTTTTGCTGCGTTTTGTTACTGGGCGGGCCCGAACCCAATCTACTTTATCCGCCTCCCTACTTCATGTTTCTACTTACTTCTTCCGACCGATAGGTACGGCCAACCAGTGCATGCCACCCGACACCATTGTAGCAAGAGCGGGGCATCTGAGCGGGTGCCGACTGAATAGGAACGTGGCTCTGGTTTTCTCTCTTTTCTTGGCCCGAGACGCGTCACGATACGATCATCGATGACCCCGTTCGAGGCCCAGACCAGGTCGGACCGAAGGCAAAAAGGCGAGGCCTTCGATTGGCGCGTGGCAGGGCCGCCTGCGATCCGACTCGAGGCGATTCGATTCGCGGGCCGGGGCCGCGATCCCGATCTGATGGACTTCTTGGCCCCGGCCGGGGGCCAGCGGGAGCCAGGCGCGGCGACCTTGGTCTCGATCCGAGGCGGCACGGTTCGCCTGCCCTCCGATCCGCTCCTGCTCCGACCCGATCTCGCGATTTTGAGCCAGCGCGGGTCTGCCTGAGGCGCATCCTCGCTCCTGCCGGCCCCCCCCCGGCGGCGATCTCGGCGCCGCCCCTGGCGCGCTCCTCCCGCCAGGAAGAGGGGGCCAGCGCCGCTCCCACGAGTCCACGCGGAGCTCCGAAGGTTTTACGTTTGAGCAGTTTCTTCTTCGACGGAGGCCGCCCAATTGGGGTCCAAGTGGGTGGGGTCGGAGGATCGCGTCGCATCGCCGATGCACCAGCGATACATCGGCGATGCGTCGGACGCAGAAGGTCGGGCTCCTTATCGAGCCCCACCGCCAGTGCATCAGCGATGCGCGCGCAGTCTAGCAGGAGTGCAGCAAGGCAATGTTTACGTTTATGCATTTGTTTCTTCCTCGAGTTTGAGTGGCCTTTGGTGACAGGGAATGAGCAACACACGCAGTTTCTGGCGACGATGCTCTTTTATGCTCGGCCAAGACTCTGCAACCTTGGCTGTATCCTTGCTTGCTCAGCGAGTTCGAACAAGCCCATCATTGTCAGAGTTATGCGGCCGAACGGTCATTCACTGTCTCTGGGCGCGTGGCTGTAGTGGGGTTCCGCGGTGCGGATTGTTGCTGTTGCGTTGTTGTTGTTGTTGCTGCTGCGGTTGTTGTTGCTGGTTGCTGCTGCTGCTGTTGTTGTTGCTGCTGCTGTTGTGCTGTTGATGTTAATGTTGTGATGGTTATTGTTGTTGCTGTTGCTGTCGCCGTTGCTGTCGCTGCTGCTTCTGCTGTTGTTGTCGTCGTCTATGTTGTTGTTGTTGTTGTTGTTGTTGTTGTTGTTGTTGTTGTTGTTGCTGTTGTTGTTGTTGCTGTTGTTGTTGTTGCTGTTGTTGTTGTTACTGTTATTGTTGCTGTTGTTGTTGATGTTGATGTTGTTGGTGTTGTTGTGATTGTGGTTGTTGTTGGTGCTATTGCTGTTGTTTTTGTTGTTGCTGGGGTTGGTGATGCTGCTGCTGATGATGATGATGATACTCATGATGATGATGATGAGGTTGCTGCTGTTGTTGTGTAGTTTTGGTTATTGTTGTTATTGTTATTGCTGCTGTTGTTGTTTCTTTTGTTGCTTTTGTTGCTTTTGTTGCAGTTGTGGTTGTGGTTGTGGTTGTGGTTGTGGTTGTGGTTGTGGTTGTGGTTGTGGTTGTGGTTGTGGTTGTGGTTGTGGTTGTGGTTGTGGTTGTGGTTGTTGTTGTTGTTGTTGTTGTTGTTGTTGTTGTTGTTGTTGTTGTTGTTGTTGTTGTTGTTGTTGTTGTTGTTGTTGTCGAGTACTCATCTCTGAAGATGTATATTGTTGATTCCCCCCGCCCAGTGCACATTGTATTTTTCAATTGAAGTGCCCCGGGGCTCGCACCCTGTTTTTATCTGGGCAAGTCTTGAGCGTCAAACTGGGCTCTTGGCCCCCGAGTTACATCAGCGGCTCTCGCCTGATGCTTCCTCAGAATTTTTGATCAATCGCGCTCTCGCGCGGGATTTCCTCACAATTTAAGCAGAAATCGTGCTCTCACGTGGGACTTTCTCGCGATTGATTCAGATGCCATCTTTGGATGGCCCGCTACTGGGGGCCGGCTACTGGGGGCCAATCCGGCGCCGCCGCCGCCGCCTCCGCCGCCGCCGCCGCCGCCCGCCGCCGCCGCCGCCGCGCCGCTGCCGCCGCCGCCGCCGCTGTCCGCCGCCGCCGCCGCCACCGCGCCGCCCGCCGCCGCCGCCGCTGCCGCCGCCGCCGCCCCCGCCGCCGCCGCCGACGCCCCCGCCGCCGCCACCGCCGCAGCCGCTGCCCCCGCCGCAGCCGCCGCAGCCGCCGCAGCCGCCAAGTGTACTCTGTATTGTTTTTTTGGCAAGGATGGTGGGGTGAGGCCGCATCGGGTTCGCTGCGCATGCTCCGAGTTTGGGAGACAGAGTGAGTGTTTGCATTGTTTTTCACAAGGGATGGTGGTGGCAGAGTGGATTTCGTATTGTTTTTTACAAGGGATGGTGGGGGGGGGCCGCATGGACTTGGGTTGGCTCCCAGTCGCCTGGGGGAGGGGGTGTATATTAATAGGGAAGAGTGGTAAATCTCTCTCTCTCTCTCTCTCGAGGAAACTCCCTGAACCACCTACGCCCAGAGGGCTGGTGGGATTTATTAGAAAATCGCGCTCTCGCGCGGGACTACCCCACGATGTGTACAGATCTCGCGCTCTCGCGTGGGTCTTTCTCCCAATCTTTTTAGACGCCGCGCCCGCGACAATCAGGAATCACGCTCTCGTTGAGGATTTCCCTACGATTTATTCGGGAGTTGCGCTGTCGCTCGGGACTTCCTCACGACTCATGCAGAACGCTCGCTTCAGCAACCCGCCTGCTCGACCTGGCCGCCTGGGCCCGCCTTCCCGATCCGCCTATTAGGGTCTACCCGCCCGATCTGCCCGTTTGGTTCTGCCACGTGTCTTCTGCTCCTAGCCCCCCTCTTGCTACTCCCTCGCGTGCTCCATCCTCCTCCCTTCCCTATTCCCTTCCTTTCATCCGTCCTCTTTTCCTCTGCCTTAGGGGCTGCACGAAATACAAGTGGCAGGTACGAGAGATATGCCCCGAAGGGTGTACAATCAAAGATGAAGAGGGCAGGTGTCGAGGTTTGGGGATATACGCGTTGAGTGGCATGGCTCGCGAGCAGATGCGAGCGAACAGTCTTAATATGATTGTTGTTGTTATTATTGGTGTGGTTGTTGGTGTTGGTGTTGGTGTTATTGTTGTTGGCTTCTCATGTCTAACGCATAGTCATTGTTGATCCCTCCTGCCCGATAACCATTGTATTTTTCAAGTGAAGTGCTTCTCCCGGGGTTCGCCCCCTGCTTTTTACAAGGGGAAGCGAGGTGTCACCAATCTGCGCCCCTGGCCCTCGGTTTACAACAACGGCTCCCGTCTGATACGTCTTTTCAATTAAAACCCCAATCGCGCTTTCGCGCGGGACGTCTTCGCATTTTATGCAGGAATTGCGCTCCCGCGTGGGACTTTTCGAAATGTATCCAGACGCCGCGCCCTCGACATTTAGAAATCACGCTTTCGACGTGGATTTCCTCACGATTTATTTGTGCATCGCGCTTTCGCTCGAGGCTTCGCCGCCATTCATGCAGAACGCACGCTTCAGCAACCCGCCTGCTCGGCCTGGCCGCCTGTGCCCGCCTTCCGACCTGCCTGTTAGGGTCTACCCGCCCGATCTGCCCGTTTGGTTCTACCACGCGTTTTCTGTTCCAAGCCCCCCTCCTGCTACTCTCTGTCGTGTTCCGTCCTCCTCCCTCCCCCTTGTCCCTTCCTTCCGTCCGTCCTCTCTTCCCCTGCCTTCGCGGCTGCGCGAAGTACACGTTGCAGGTAATAAGGAGACACCCCAAAGGGGGTATGATTTAAGATGAGGAGGGCCCGTATCGAGGGTTTGGATGTACGTGGTGAATGGCCCGCGAGCAGATAACAGCGAACAGTCTTAAGCTGATTTTTGATGTTTCTGCTGCTGCTGTTATTGCTGCTGTTGCTGTTGTTGACTATCCATTTCTAAAGGATTATTGTTGTTGATCTCCAGAAACAGTTCCGCGCGCTCTCGCCTTGACGCCGGCTGCATTTCCCTTGAAAACGAGGCTCCCGCTCGAGCGTTGGTTTGAGCCTAAATGTGGGCCCTTGGAGGCCCAGCTACGACAACAACGGCTCCCGCTCGATACTTCCGCACACTTTACCCCAAGACACCCTGGCCAGAGATGCCCCCGACCTCAGGAACGGCGCTCTCGCTCGCGACTTCTCGAAATTCAATCAAGTGGTGGAGGCCCAGCCACGGCGACAAGGGCTCCTGTTCGATACTGCCTCACGATTTACTCCGAGAGCCCCTGGCCAAGAAGGCCCCCGAACTCAGGAACGGCGCTCTCGCTCAAGACTTTCGCGTACTTCAGGCAAGTTGGTGGAGGCCCGGACACGGCGACAAGGGCTCCTGTTCGATGTTTCTCCATCGGTATTGCGAGAGTCCTTGGCCAGGGAGGTCCCCGAACTCAGGAACGGCGCTCTTGCTTGAGACTCTTCGCACTTCAGTCAGTGGCCGACAAGGAAGATATTCCCCCCGAAAGGGGAAGGGGGTGCAACCGAAGGCGAAGTGGGCGGGTAT